CAGTAACCAGCGCCACTTTTCCTGTCCACTTGTTATTCATTCGCTGCACTCACTTGCCAATGCGACTTGTGGTCATTATATACTATGTAGACGTAGATATAGAAGTAGATATAGGTGTAGAATTAAATGCAAATGTAGAATGTATACAATAGAACATCGTTTATCGGAAACAATTCATGGTCGCGAGGTAGGTTAGCCGAACTCATGTTCGTCCGAATGTATTTTTGCTAATTTTAAAGAATAGATACGCGATGGCGTGCATACATTTTGCCGAGAATTACACACAGATAATGTGTACATCGTTTATTGATGTTAATAAATTTGAAACACCATGGTGATTGTTAGGTACGATATATTTTAGAACATTTGTAAATATACGTAATATACAGGGTGTCCCAGGTTTTAATGTTCAAACTTCGTTAGTGTATTCTATGGCACAAAGTAAGAAAAAAATGTTATGTAAACATAGGTCATATAGAGCTTTATTAAGAAGTTACAACAAAAATTCAGAATAGGAATAGTAATCAACTTGCTGTTACTGCGAGCATTGACTTGAATAGTTCAGCACATGCCGTGTGTTTATGTAAGCTGTGTTTATTAATACATTTCGAAATGTATTAATAACCGTTGTTGACAATACATGATTGACATCGATCGAAGATTTTTTTTTATTTTTTATTTTTTTTTTAGTTGATTACTATTCCTATTCTGAATTTTTGTTATAACTTCTTAATAAAGCTCTATACGACCTACGTTTACATAACATTATTTTCTTACTTTGTGCCATAGAATATACTGACAAAGTTTGAACATTAAAACCTGGGACACGCTGTATATATTTAATACTGGAAACCAATTTTAATAATTGTATTTGGAAAAAGGAGTTTTATATAGCGAAAGATAATGAATGATGGAATTTAATGGTACCGAAAATTATTTGTAATTATACTGGACAGGAATCTTCTGCTTTGCAAATACTTTAAAATAAATACATCTTTTGTATTCGACATTAAAAAATATTACGTAGTGGGGGTAGCCTGCGAGTTCAAGTTGTCCGAACTGTCTTGATCTTCGAACCGTATTGAAGTCTTTATCGTGCTTTAATGTTACGAGACCTTCAGCTTTCGAAAACGCAGACATCATTCGAGGTTAGCGAGGCTAGCTACGAGATTCAGTATTTTAAAAGAACTCTTTTAACAAATTAGATTGACTCTTGTATTGCTTTCATCTTTTATACTGCATCGTTTCTTTAAGAGAAATTCTACACATCCATGAAGAACGTTGAGTTATTATACATGGCAATTTACTTTCTTGTGTTTTTTAGTAGAACGAAGATTATTTAAACACTTCAAGTGACATTGAAAACAATGTCCAAGATTGCTAATTCACCGATCATTTCATTAAACTTGATCTCATTTATCAATTATCGGATANTAGGTCATATAGAGCTTTATTAAGAAGTTACAACAAAAATTCAGAATAGGAATAGTAATCAACTTGCTGTTACTGCGAGCATTGACTTGAATAGTTCAGCACATGCCGTGTGTTTATGTAAGCTGTGTTTATTAATACATTTCGAAATGTATTAATAACCGTTGTTGACAATACATGATTGACATCGATCGAAGATTTTTTTTTATTTTTTATTTTTTTTTTAGTTGATTACTATTCCTATTCTGAATTTTTGTTATAACTTCTTAATAAAGCTCTATACGACCTACGTTTACATAACATTATTTTCTTACTTTGTGCCATAGAATATACTGACAAAGTTTGAACATTAAAACCTGGGACACGCTGTATATATTTAATACTGGAAACCAATTTTAATAATTGTATTTGGAAAAAGGAGTTTTATATAGCGAAAGATAATGAATGATGGAATTTAATGGTACCGAAAATTATTTGTAATTATACTGGACAGGAATCTTCTGCTTTGCAAATACTTTAAAATAAATACATCTTTTGTATTCGACATTAAAAAATATTACGTAGTGGGGGTAGCCTGCGAGTTCAAGTTGTCCGAACTGTCTTGATCTTCGAACCGTATTGAAGTCTTTATCGTGCTTTAATGTTACGAGACCTTCAGCTTTCGAAAACGCAGACATCATTCGAGGTTAGCGAGGCTAGCTACGAGATTCAGTATTTTAAAAGAACTCTTTTAACAAATTAGATTGACTCTTGTATTGCTTTCATCTTTTATACTGCATCGTTTCTTTAAGAGAAATTCTACACATCCATGAAGAACGTTGAGTTATTATACATGGCAATTTACTTTCTTGTGTTTTTTAGTAGAACGAAGATTATTTAAACACTTCAAGTGACATTGAAAACAATGTCCAAGATTGCTAATTCACCGATCATTTCATTAAACTTGATCTCATTTATCAATTATCGGATATAGTCACTTAGATCGTTATTAATTATTAACGTCAGAAGTTTGAACTCAGACACGCTGAAGAAAGTTGCGCAACATTGTACAACAAAGCGTGTGTGTGCAGCATTCCTTTTAGGAAGATTTAGTTACTAACATAATCTTCTTCAATTATATGAGTTTATTGTGTTTGTTTTAAAATCATTGCCTCGCGAGTATTCCAAAATAAAGCGGTACGCATATGAAATTATACGTGTACTCTTATTAAGTAGAGGCACTTCTTCTTTATTTATGTTAGCAAATAAAATTCTAGAATATATAACATGAGTATTCAAGATTAAGATAATCAGAAATTAATGTATCCATGAGGAGATTTGTTAATGGCATGGTAATAGGTATTTAGCAGACTATGTATACTTATTGTACTCTCGGCGTTTATAGTGACTCAAGGAAAATAATAGCATACTTTTGAAAGAGGACTGATTGCCTTAAAATATTGTGAAACCAAACAATAAAACTATTAGTCATTTTCTTCGAATAATCAGACATTTCATGCTACATGACCTAATATTTAGTCGGCGTACAGATTCTTGTCTTTCATTTCTTTCCGTATTCAATCTTCTATGGAGAGTTAATGACGGGGAGCGAGCAATTTAAAATTCGTGTATTCGCTCTTTATGAATTTCAACTAGCAAGCATAACTGCAACATAGCAGCTTCTTGCAACAAATTTAAGTGTCCGCGAGCAAGAACGGTACAAAAATGATTCGAACGATTTCAGGAAAGCAATGTATCGTTGAGAGACGAATCACGTTTAGACGTACTACATTAGTCGTTGTCTATTATATTGATATTATATTGATTATAAAAACATAATGTGTGACGTTCCTGTTAATCTGACTCGTTAGCTCCAGCGAATATAACAGATTAGTGTAAATTCTTCCTAGAAGGCCCGGAGCTCAGAATTGAAAACAGAAATCGCAGGACACTCAATCGCGATTCTTCGAGTCTCGTGGCTCGCCTCTTTCTCGTAAATGGGAGAGAAGAAGGGAGAGAGAGAGAGAGAGAGAGCGAAACTCGGGGCAGTCAGCCAATAAGGCAGCGGCCAGCATGCCGGTGTACATTAATACGAATGCATTGTAATGCTAGAATGAAGATGATGACTTAACTTTTTTATTTCTATTTTTTGCTACGATTCACAGGCAATTCGGAGGCTACATGCCACGATTCGAAGGCAATTCTGAGATCACATGACACGATTCGAAGGCATTTCGGAAACAACATGATACGATTCGAAGGCGATTTGGAAACCAGATGCCACGATTCGACGGTCACGTACCTTGTATCTCCGTGGTTTTTCTTAACTGACTCAGAGCTAATCAGACTATTTTGCAGACCATTTTTGCATCACACGCTTGACCGACTCCGTCGACCCTTAGCATTGACGTAGCAATAAATTACATAGGCGTAGGACTAGCACAGGGAAATTCGCAGCAATCCGAGAGAAATGACTATATTTGTACTTGAAGAACGTCACCTGTTGTTTTTTTATTGTTGATCTTTTTATTGTCAATATTGCTAATTTCATGGTCAACGTCCTATTTCTAAGCGGAAAAGCATATTTCCACAGGGTTTAACCCTTTCGATACTACGGGCCACTATAGTGGCCCTCCATAAGATGCCACTGAGGTACTACGAGCCACTATAGTGACCTTGGATAAGATGCCAACGAGGTACTACGGGCCACTATAGTGGCCTTCGATAAGATGCCACCGAGGTACTACGGGCCACTATAGTGGCCCTCCATAAGATGCCATCGAGGTACTACGGGCCACTATAGTGGCCCTCCATAAGATGCCATCGAGGTACTACGGGCCACTATAGTGGCCCTCCACAAGATGCCATCGAGGTACTACGGGCCACTATAGTGGCCTTCGATAAGATGCCAACGAGGTACTACGGGCCACTATAGTGGCCCTCTATAAGATGCCACCGAGGTACTACGGGCCACTATAGTGGCCCTCCATAAGATGCCATCGAGGTACTACGGGCCACTATAGTGGCCTTCGATAAGATGCCAACGAGGTACTACGGGCCACTATAGTGGCCCTCTATAAGATGCCACCGAGGTACTACGGGCCACTATAGTGGCCTTCCATAAGATGCCATCGAGGTACTACGGGCCACTATAGTGGCCCTCCATAAGATGCCACCGAGGTACCACGGGCCACTATAGTAGTCCTCCATAAGTTCGATCGTTTGTAGCGAATAAAGTCAGTGCTTGCTGCAGAAAGATAATTCACCTTATTTTTCTCTCAACAACGCATAAATACATATGATTATTATTATTATATTATTTTTTTCTATTTATTTCTTATTTTTTTCAATTTTGTTTAACTTTATTTGGATCAACCCTTTTGCTACGGGCGGGTTCTCCGCTGCGGTAGCCCCGCTCCGTTCAGCGGAAGTACCGCGGCGAAGAACCCGCCCGTAGCAAAAGGGTTAAAGGAAAGACAAATATCATGGAATTTGAGAATCGAGAAATTCAATTTCTGGCCAAAAATTACCGACCTCCGGACCAGTTTGCGACGGAACAATAAAAGAATGTCGAACGTTTTCCATTGCAGGGCATTCTGGGCTCCGGTTTCGCGCTGAAAGTCCAGCAAAAGCAACGGCAGAAGCACTTCAACCGACAGATACCGGCCGCGGCGATGTTGATACAGTGTCTATGGAGATGTTACGCGGCCGACAAAGCCATCAACAGCGTGGCGACTTGGAAGATCTATATCAAGGATCCAGCGCCGACCGGCCAGCCGTCCACGCCTCTCGGAAAGGTAAGCTTTTACGGTTGTTTGTCGAAGTTCAGGTGGCAGTAGCTACTAGCCGTTGATTGTTGATGTTTCTAGTTGCTTACGATGTTAGTCGGCAGTCTGAACTGACGCTGACCAGTGCGAATTTACGTTCTTGCCGTTAGCATTTCGAATCGCTCCGGCGATCCGGGGATATCCTTTTTGTTCTCATTTTGTTTATCGCGGAGAGCGTTCAGAACAATAGGGTCGGGAACTCGTCGATGTTTCGCCCATTCGAACGAAACAAACGACCTAACTCGATTAGCCTAGATCTCGCGGAATTTTCTCACGAGCAACAAATTTTTCTTAGTGTCACGTTTCCGGAGACTCCAAGGTCACTGACGGCAGTTTTTTAATCGTGCTCGAGGTTAAGCAAAGGTTAAAGAAATTACGCTTGACCTCGATTATTACGCTGTGATGATAAAAATATGTGGTCTCGTTTTAAAAAATTGTCGATGACCTGGAACTCTTGATTGTGACCTTGAGAAATATTCGCAGCGCAGTATTTGCAAATCTTGTATCTTCCAACATCGTCTTACGGTTATGTTGTTAATAGTAACGATAAATGAGATGTGCCAAGCGGTCGAATTAAATTTCAAAAATTTGATTGGTGAATTTTAGATTATTTCTCTGTATTAGTATAGTCAGATCATTGTAATCGAGGCGGAAGAGTAATTAAGAAAGCTTTCACTCTGCTTTGCAATATAACATATGATTTAAAAATAATATAACAGCTGAGTTTAATATGTATACGTATATCAGTAAAATTAATAAACAAACTGCAATTCTTAGTAATATATAAATGAAATATTTTGTTAATAATACAGAATTTATCGTAATACTTATTCTATATGGCTTTATTACAATTAGTTTATTGTAATTAATAAACAAATGCAGCCAACAGACAGTACTATTTAAATGTTGTGAAATATTCTTTGTCACAAACAAATTTCGTATTTCAGAAAAACTAAATTCACCGAACAAACCGTGGCCATTAAAAATTTTAATTCCGTCCTTTGTGTCACGTTGAACTTTTGAGCTCGCAGTAACAATAACTTTCGTTCAGTCTGACAATAGAAAAGGCGTCGACGCCCGGTCATTATGTTCTGAACGCCTCCACCGTTAGGTCTTAAAAATTCATCCAATTGTTCAGTTCGCGTAGAAAGCAGCAGAGTCGTTTGATCTCGGTAAATCAAGTTTAATGAAAATTTCGTGGAGAGTGTAAAAACGAGTGTGAAGGAGAATGTTAATGACCCTATTGATTCCTCTGTTCTATGAAAATCGTCAGTTGCCACTTTTAAATTAGAAAATTTTCACTCGTTGTTTTCGAACGATTTCGTGATTATGTAATAATTAGACGATTGATCTTTATACATTTATCGTGTGCCTAAAATTTTAATGTACAATGTCCCAAAACTATATACAACTAAATTTTATCGTGTCTCAAAAATATTCTAAGCCGTTGAAAGAGGTGAGTTTTGTAATTTCAAGTAACTTTTTCCTTAGCGAAAATATTATCCGCGGCTTCGTTAACGAGTTATTAAGGAAAAACGCGGACCAATCAGAGGGCGAGTGCGGCGATGCTCTGCCCTCGCTGCCTCTGCCGCATCGTACTCGCTATCGCGTGGGCGTGGCGTCAACCGTGTTTGTTCACCCATTGGACCACATTTTCTGGGAATAATCCGTTAATGAAAACCCATAGAACATTTTCGCAAGGGAAAAGTTACATCGAATCACCTTGGAAACGATGTAACGAGAGTTCTGGGACACATTCTATACAAGAATACGAGTGCATTAACGAAAATTAATGGCATATTTGTTCGATGTTTATTGTTAAAAGATAATTTTCACGAAACTATATTTTATCTCAACTTTTATTTGTGATTTTAATTAATTTAAATAAATTTGCTATTCCTATCAATGTCCAGCAAACTATTGATTCCTTTAATTTACTTATGGAAATTTACTGTTTATATGAACGTTCACAAAACCATTTTCTGCTATTTTTTTAATTTATGCGAAAGCTGTTGTAAAGGACATTTTTTGTCTCTTGTTTTGATTTTTCTCAAATGATTTACTATAAAGATTTATTAAAATTTTGTATAAAGTTCAGCAGTCTAATAATTATTAATAATTACTTTGTAAATGGTGTGATTTACAGAAATTTTAATAGGAATTCTTTACCGAGATTACGCGATTCAACGCGTTTATGTGTGTACATAGGGTGTTTTTGAAACAGTGTATAAAGTATTTCAAACAAAATATTTTAAGCTATATTTTACAACTCTACTAATATATAAATAAATTCGCACATATTTATTTATACATGAGCTAACACATTGAAAATATACACTTTGTAGTATTATTTTATACATTTAATGTACTGTTGGTGGAT